GCAGCGGGAGCGATCAGTGAACGACACGACAACGTCTGTTTGCTCGAAGATATGAAAGCTGCCATTGACACGTTTGAGCAAATTTGTGGGCCGTTATTGCCAGGTCTTGTAAGTTGAACGGGATAAGTTGATGTTATTAGTAATAATAGCTCATCGGCCGAATTGCAGACGTCTGAAGGGCGCCTCCTTTGACTACCGCTACTACTACTACTACTACTTTTGTACTTGTTTACTGATGTCTTGGGAGGCCGCTAGAATTCACCTCGAATTCACATTCGACCACACGGAAGGGGCATCGCGAGAGTACGGGTTATTCACCCCGCGCCAAAAAGTGAATTCTTCAGCACATTCTCTCAGCAGCTTTGGCTAGACCGAATTAGACAGGAAAGCCCACAGGGTTTTTTTGGAATGTATGTCTATCAGTTGCCTTGGTTGTTCCTGACGATGTTGATGGCATGAGTTCATTACTAAATTGCGGACCGTCTGGAGTGGACGGTGTGTGGTTCAGTTCGCTTGATTTTTGTTTTGCTTCGCGTAACGTAAGTCTGTTCCTGTTGGCCCTCCTTCGCGCGCTCCATTAGCGCATCATCTTATCCAGGCGCGTGATCTAGATGCCTAAAGCTTCGTGCAAGGACATCGCGCCTCTACGAGTCGTCCATCCACTCGCCGAGGACGGCTTTTGTCTTGTTTACCTTAATCCCGTCGGATGTCTCTCGGCCAGATTGCTTCTCGATGTCTGCAGGAAGGTGTGTGGAGAGGAGGCGATCTCTTGATCGCGCATTTTCAATCGCACTTTCGCGTTTTTGCGCCATCATTCCGCATCCTTGATTAGGCGGGCATCTTCAGTCCACCCCCCTTCTCCTCCCATCCCGTCCCTCTTTTTCTTTTCGCCAAAACACCTCGGGCAGGCTTTTCTTGACAGTGCGCGCGTAACGACAGAATTACTTTCCGCAGCTATCTTCCTACAAAATGCTCTTGCTCCGCGTGTTTTTTTCGTTTGTGTGTGGTTTGTGGGCATCCGTATTCCCCGATTTGCGGGCGCCCTTACTGCGCGGCCGCGCACCTTTCATCTCTCTACGTTTACCTTCTTTCTGTTTTCTGGTCTTTTTTTTTTTCGTTTGCTTGCCGTTTATTCCGGTTATCACTGACGTTTACTCTTCATTCAAGCTTGCTCCTGTTCCTATCGCTCTTCGAAACCGCTGCCATTTTTTTTTCTTTTGCGGTGTCCAATCGGCTCTCCCCCCCCCCGCCCCTGTCGTAGGAGTCGTTTTATACATGTTCGCGCCATTGGGGGGTGTGGTCGTATGACCGATTAGCGAAGCTGCCGCTTCATTTCCTGAGCCAGAGATATCTTCTACGACCCGCTTCTCCTCCCCCTTCCCCCCCCCCTTAAGTTGCTCATCCGTGTATTCGTTTTTTTGCCCGCGTTTCGACGCTGTTCGTTTTGTGTGTACATCCTCGTCTGGCCACTCCATTACCATGTCTGGTACCGTGGTCGCGCGTTTCGTCCGCACCCTGCTTTAGGGTTGGCCGCCGCCGATTGAGCTTGTGTTGTAGTATATTACTTATCGGAGTCGAGTTGCCCGTCCAGTTTAGTTCGGGTTTCTTGTAGCGACTTGTTCTTTCTTGACCGCACCCTTTCTTCGGGGTTTGATAAACAAAACTAGTTCCTACCGTTGCCGGGTGGGAACTCGCCACACCCTCTCTTGCTTCGAAGTTGTTGAGGTCTGACTTTGTAGGATCGTGGACCAGCTTTGTTAATCGGATCGGCTGTAAAACTTTGGCACGTCCGAACCCGCGGACATCATTGACGGTGGGTGTTGGTCGGTGTGGTGTTGCTCGATTTTAAAACATCGCGTACACACAGCGCTTGAGGAAATGCTTCAAGGTATTTCCGATGTCGCTTCCCCCCACCGTTCACCGCGTACGCGCGGTAATATGCAACGCTAATCATGAACTATACTTATCGCATCATATTTGCAAGATTGTTTCAGCGCGCGAACAAAGGAAAAAGGGCAGGGTAGACAGAAAGAGAGCTGTTTCTGTCTACCCTGTCCTTTTTCCTTTGTTCGCGCGCTGAAACAATCTTGCTAATATGACTATGCACCAACTAGCCCAAGCTTCCACTCTTGTGAGTTATCGCGTCAGTTGCTTTCGGGTTCAGCTGCCGACCAACGTATTTCAGTGTACAACTCAACGCCTGTTTAGTCGCGCCCAAAATAAGTGTCGCTTACGTACGACAATATACACTCACACTAAACGTGTGAGTGTATATTGTCGCGCATATTTAAACGCAAGCTCATAAAACACGCATCACAGCGTAGACGCAACACACACACAGACAATGGTGACGCGACGAAAATTAGCGCGTGCGTGGCTTCCACAAATTCGGTGAGATCGACTTTGTGCAAAATATATGGACCGTTACGATTCGTGAGTCAGCCAGAGGGCCTCGCCGTGGATGTCGTTGGCTGCCTTTTGTTTTCTTATTTTCCGAGTACCAATCGAGGTCGCGATGGATTTTTCGTCAGTGTGTTCAACGCTCGTCAATTTCTCTGCATTCACGTCGCTGCTGTCGGCAGGCCGAACTTCACCGGTGGGTCGATGGGGGGGGGGGGAGGGGGTGTCGTTTGAAAGGCCTGACTTACTACGTGCAGCTGTTGTCAAGTGTCACTCGACATAGCGCCGCCACGTTTTATTTCTTCGTTTTTTTTAACCTTTCTCCAAAGAATACTTTGCTCTTTGCCGACACATTTTCTTGCCCTACGACGAAGTTCAACGATAGTTTTTGTTCGGTATTTCGGTCGCCTTTTCTCTACGGTATACGTCAACATGAAAGCGTTAAAATATAGTGCTAACTTCTACCGCAGTAGTGACTAGTAACACGTCTCGTGTCAATGACACGATCCTCGTCACGGATCAGGCGTCAGTCGACGTCTCTAATGAGCGGTAGAGTCGGGATGCGCCTTCTCGAAGCGTGTCTGAAAGACGACAGTTGTAGCGCGAGAATGTCATAGCAACTAGCCCTAGCTGCCACACTTCTAAGTGTCTGAAAGGTTACGGTGTCGTCTCCTAGTAAGGGGCCTGATGCGCATTTCCCTGAGCAACGAGTTTTGCTATTCCGGGCACTCGTCGAATTGAGTCGCATTGTCGGAATTTTGTGACGCAGGCCACGTGGCTTTGTAGGGCTAGTGGATATGCAAGTGAAACAAAATGGCCGTCATAATGGCCATCCGTGTTACTGAGTGCTGATTCACGACAACACGCGGTCTAGCTAGCCAATCGCTTACGCTTGCGAGCTTGAAGCTTCGCCGTCCGGCGGCAGTTTTACGACGTGCTACTACCCGATTTTTCTCTTTCAGCTGTTCCGGTGTGGCATCGATCACCCTAACTAGTCAAATTAGACTTTGCTGGCATGGTCGTCGGCAGGATTTTTTTTGCGGGGGGTTGGGGGAGGGGGGGGGGGTTGTAAACCAGTGTAGCATAGCGGCTGAGGGAAGGTGAGAGCACTGCTGAAGCTTGGGTGAAGGACAGTGCTGGTGGGGTCTTGGGGGGGGGGGTTGTTGTAATGCTGTAATATGTTGTAATGCTGTAATATGTTGTAATGCAATAGCGATAAGTTACACACGTTGGTTCGGAAACTCGGGTACCGCACATCCGTGTTCAAAGGCCTTCAGGACTGTCAGCCAGCTTTTTACTTTGTTACGCACTATTCATTAATCTTAGTGGTCATGCATGCGTCATGGAACCGAAACAGATCCCCCCCCCCCCTCATCCTCTTTAGTCGTACTCGCGGCCCGTGTCCTTTTCCCGAACTGCAGGCTTCTTGTGTTTCTGCCACTTCGGTTCTAGCATCCTCCGCCGCGTTCATTTCCGTAGCGAGCGAGTAGCGAACCGACAAGTCGAGGAGTAGTGTGTGTGTGTGTGTGTGTGTGTGTGTGTGTGTGTGTGTGTGTGTGTGTGTGTGTGTGTGTGTGTGTGTGTGTGTGTGTGTGTGTGTGTGTCAGGGCCTTCCTCGTCCCTTTTGCGCTGTGCCTCGCTAACAACCTATGCGAGCGCACAATGTTCCTCCGTCCGTAAGCAGTCGCCCGGCGTCTACAGCGCACGTAGGAACGGTCATCCGTGAACAACGAAGATTTTCTCGGAAGGCTGTTAACCAGAACAAATGAAATAAGACCGCAACAGCGGAGAAACACGGACATTTACTCGTCCATCAACTAAAGCTTATGACTCAACAAAAGGCTAACAAGACCAAAAGAAAAGGCTGTTAACCAGAACCAAACAGGCCTCGATACGTGATCAGATGCACACTGCTTTGCCCAAACATCAGCATTCACTTCGTGGACATGACGCGCCTCATTGCCTGGCGTTGTTGCCCGTTGCAACTGAATTGTCGCTCAGCTTAGTTTAGCGTTGCGCAAGTCCAGTTTGCTGAATGAGCAAACCCTCGCACAGTGTGGCTGTATAAGCTGGGGTGCGGCGTGCCTACTGTTCTAGTGCATTGGATTTTGGTACTCTTGGTCTGTAGCCGCCGAACTCCTAACTCACTGGCTTTCAGTGTCCCCTTTTTGTTCGTTCCTCTGGTGTCACGGGACGCATTCTCTCGTCGGCAACTGCGCGAGCTAGTCAGTCCTTGCGTCCCTGCCAACAACGCCGCCGGTGCGGCCTGGTAGCGATTTTTAGCCTGAAGGTCGTTCAACCTCGGTTTAGGATCCTAGCCTGGTGGTCCCGTATGGTTTCTGAACCTGCTTTGCTCCGTTAACGCTCTGCGCATTTTGTCGTGCTGTCTCGTGCCACAGTAGGTTATGATATGATGTCACCGTGCTTTTTTTACCTTTGTATTGATTTTGTCATACCTGGTTCAGTAAGTATTGGTTCGTTTCCGCAGCCATCGGGGAGCAAAAGGGCGTAGTGCGGTTGCTGATTTCGCGACCTCAAGTTTCGCCTTTGGCATTCTTGGGTGCCCCCGCCTCATTGTCCGCGTCTTTTGTCTGCTGCAGATGACGACGACGACGACGATGATGATGACGATGATGAGGACGAGGAGGAGCGCCAGCAGTCTGTCGAGCAGCACGATGACGATGATGACGACGAGGATGATGATGACGATGATGATGAAGACGATGACGACGACGACGACGAAGAGATCGACGTCGTCACCGTCTCCGGAGAGCGCCACCAGCGGCACGGCAACGCTCCCGCCGTTCTCGCGCTTCCGGCCAACGGTGCCACCGCGATCCGGTGCGCCGGCGTCCGGGGCCAGCCCCGGTCGTCCACGGTGACTCCTGTTGCCTCCCGCATCACGTCCAGCGGCCGCGTCGTTACGCCCTCGCACAAGGCCCTGCACGACCAGGCGTCCCGGAGACGACGTCGCGGTGCCGGGTCCCCGAACGTCTCCGCCCACGCCACGTCTCCAGTGGGTGGCAAGCGAAAGCGTTCCCGCCAGTACCACCACCAGGCGTCCCAGCATCAACTTCACGGCTCCCTGCTGGCTCATCCTAAGCGGTCCAGGCGCGACCACAACGCCGACGGCGCTGGTTTCGGAGCGCCGTCGTGCCCGATTCGGCGCGGCCACCACCCACTGTCCCAGCTGCCCCCCAGCGTCAGGCGCAACGAGCACAATACCATGGAGCGAAAGCGTCGGGATGACCTCCGCCTGGCCTTCCAGGACCTGAGGGTCCGGGTGCCCTGCCTGTACGACAACAAGAAGGCGGCCAAAGTGACCATCCTTCGCGAGGCTGCCTCGTACGCGCTAAAGCTCACGAGCGAGGCGTACCAGCAGGAGAAAGTTTACAAGCACGAACAGCACCGCCACCACATGCTCCGGCGAAAGCTCGCCCAGCTGCAGCAGCAGTACCAGCTCCAGCAGCAGTATCAGCAACAGCAACGGATACGCTACAGCAGGCGCTAAGCGAGCGGAACTCTGAGGTGTTGACGCAAAGCCTCGACAGTGAGTTTTGTCCCATGTGTAGTCACAGACTGCAGTGTTTCACTGTCCCATGCTTCACCTGGGTCCCATGCTCGCCTGTCTTGAGGCTCACAGTCGGACCTCTGTCCTTGCCAACCTGGAGCTTTGCCCGCATCGGTGCCTATTCAGTGGTAATGGACCGGAGTTCGCATGCCTCATTGCCCCGCAGTGTGCAAGCATCTGAACTCTTACCAGAACTAAATGCCGGCCCCTCTGCAAAATTTGATGCTGAAGACTTTCACGGTGCGTGCTGGAGGGGCTAGTTATTGAATGCTCTTCTGTGCGGTGGCCATATCTGTGCTAGCCCTCCCTGTTATAAACCTGCGTTGTAACTGTGAAAATGACTTCCTAGCTGGCTGGCTGGCTGTGCAGAGTTTTGTAGCACGGGTAACTTTCTTTCTTGCATCAACATAGGAATGTTGCATTCAAGTAGGGGTGTTAAAACCAGCTCGCGGCTTTTTAAGTTATCTTTTTTTAAGCGGGCGCAGGAGTGAGCTCTTCGCACCCTACTTGCATTTTTTTATCTCTTTAACCAGGTATTGGCTGTGTGTTGACTGTGATTTAAAGTACAGCTTTTTTTTTTAGAGTTGGAGAGATGATGGAAAGCAGTTGGCAGAACAGGATTGGTTTTGTAGAATTCGGAAATTTCTTTTTGAGGAACTGTTTTGGCATATGTGTATTGTTTGTAGAGGAAAGGAGATGCAGCCAATACTTTGGATTTCAGGGAACCTGAACAAGGGAAAAAAAAAAGGTGCAGGTTTGGTGCGTCACTGTTGAAAACAGCTAGTCCTCATGTGGTACGTGTTCTGTGGTGTTCGTGTCTTGTATATGTTGTCTGTTGGTTTTTAAGTTTAGCTTTGTTCTACTCTGGCGCACAGCTGCCTAAATTGATTGGCAGGGTGAAGTAGGTCCATATGGCTGCTGCTACAGTTACATAATTTTAGATATAGATGTCCATCTATATATATGGCATATGTAATCACCTATCACTCTTTGTGGGGGCCTTCTTACTGGTAATTGTATTGGTACTAGCTTTTGTATTTTTTAATTTTAAGGAAGTTGTGCCTGTTAGTGTGCTTGTACAATGCGCTTTCAGTCATTTCACCATGTGAAGGCTGATTTCAGCATTTTTTTTTTCATCCCACACCTTCCATACGTAATACATCTCATTTCACATGGTGCTAATTAGCCTGACCAACCAGGCTATCATTCGTGAGTGGCGCCTCGTTGCAAGCCGTTGTGCTGAGGCAGCTGTAGGTACTGCTCGCACGTAAAGGCGATGGCGCACTGTTGCTGGTACCTGTGGAAGTTGCTTTGTCGGCTTTGAGCTGCAGCTGAATCAAGCCTGCTTATTTAATGTATGCTAGCAACAAAGTCGGACTTTTCTTGCAGCATTCACTGAGTGAGCAGCCACTTAGCAGGCGGCTGGCAGGCTAGTGACTGATGCGTATCACTTCTCTACAACCAAACGGCCCATACGCATGCAATCTGGTCTTGATGTATTGCTAAATTGTGTTGAGACGTGCACCCTGCACTGTGCAATGACATCACAGTGGATGGTCGAGGTCTTTTTCTCCTTGCTTCACATTGAATCGCTGTGCACTTGCGCTTTAATTTGGGGCATACCTTTGTAAGCCACACACAGGTTTGCGGAGCACGACAGTGGTGCTATATGACCCATTTTTCAGAGACCTGCTTAGTTCAGTTAGCGTTGCATAGTTGTGATGCTAGACCCTATGCAAGCCATTTGTAGAGGCAACTCGGACACTTTCAGTGAGAGCACGCTCCCCAGCTGTGTGGGTACTTTGGATCGGGTACTTTGGCCTGACGCGATGTTCCCTCTTGACTGGATAATCGTCCATTTCTTTCTCGCATCTCATTTTTCTTGCGTACTGCATTTCTGTGTTGTAACTTCGATGCTTGCAGCAATTTTTGGGCATTAGGTGTCTCATCTTGCGAGACATGCTATCATATTTTCGTAGCTCCATTAAGATTTCGCGTGCTGTCGCAGTTCATGATGGCATTGCTTTTTTTCAAGGATTCAGTTGGAGTTGGCTGGTAGTGTCTTCTCATGGTTGGCCTGGTGGCGTGGTCATGGTTTCGACTCTTTTGTTGGAAGCACTTGCATAATATGGTACTACAACATACATCATCATGTTCGAGTAACCTAGAGGCTGCCAAAGTTGCAATTGTGTAGAGGTTGAAATCCAGCAAGCTTTTTTCGCTCCACCCAACAGTGCTTCTATTGAAATCAAGCCTTGTTCAACGAGTTACCCTAGCTGGGTCAAGCCATTGTGTTCTCTTATTGCCTCGAGACTTTAGACGAAGCTGTTTTAATTGCGTGTAATCACCTTATTTTTTGTTCTTTTTGGCATAGAAATGTACCATCGTCTATATATGCTCGAAGTAAAAGGCTATGGAAAGGTACTTGCTGTACATGGTTTTTCTTGTATGTGCACGCCTTTATTTTATTGCTGCATATGTAATCACTAGTTTCCCCTGCTGTTGCTCGCCTACCTTTATATTTTCACTGCATAAATTTGGGCTTGAGCACCAGCTTTTAGTCCATGGCTGCCTAATGCGTTATATTTCTGCACTTGAATTGCCAGTAACCCTACGCTCAAGAGAAGCAAAAACATTAGCATTTTTTAAAGTCCAGTTTTTTTCACTGTTCTAATATCCGAAATTTGACCCTCGAGGTTACTGCTTTCCTAATTCTAAAGTCTAATTTGCCAGGAGCACAAGAACTTGTACTTTCAATAGGTATTACATCCGAGTTATTCTTGCTTGTTTAGTCGAGTCGGTGCTGCACACTTTTCTTGGCACGGTTTGGCTGCATTGAGATGTTTTTATATTCTATGCCTTCTTTCATTTCTTCGTAATACACTCCGAAGTTCCTACACTTATATATAGATAGTAATTATTAGATATCTATTTGCGGTGGGTTTGTTGTAATGCCAAGTGTTTTATGGTAGTATCGCCGATAGGGGACTTTCTTTACCTCCTTGTGCATAGACTAAGAAGGGGTATCTTCTCGCACGTGCTACGTTACTACACTAAGCTACATGTATACCCTACCTTGCCGAGACGTTCTTCGTTAGAATCACTGGGCTTTTTTTTTCCGGCATAAATACTGAGTCTTTAGCACAAACTTGGTAGTATTCTTCAGTCGATATTGTGATACCGGAGAGTCGCTGGAGAATTCCATTTGTCGTTCACTATCATTGTGTGTTTGTTGCCCGATTGCTATTTCTTTACGCGACATCGAGATAGTTTGGAGCTTATGCAAGACCTTGTAATTGTTCACCAACGCAATTTGCATTGAGTGTGGTGCAGTCGTGAATTGCGAGGGCACGTCGCCGCCTGTGCTGCTGTGGTTTGGATCTGGGACGGCTTTAGTCTGCTTCCCACGAGTTAGTCTATGGAATGGGGCGGCGTCGGTTCTTTGAATTTCGACTAAGGCACTTTTGCTCGGAACAGTTGTGCATATATCTTATTAATGCAAGCCAATTGTGCATAAATGCAAACACTTGAGTGTTGTAGCAATAGTTTCCAATCGTTTTGTGATGTAACCTTTCCTTGGCCATAAGTAACCGTCATGTGTGCACTTTTTGTTCGTTTTATAAGGAAACGTTCGACCACATTTTTTAATGCCTTGGACAAGCCGTCCTGGCTGTTTTTTGAATAGGAACTGTCTTTCTTTTTTTTTTCTAATGTGGAGAAGTTTCTTCAATGCAAGTTTTTCTCGCACGGTATGGTTTCCCCAAAACAAGGATGCAAATGCAGCAAAGGGTTTTTTTCATTGTGTGCTGTGTCGTTCACACTGTGTTGTTTCGCTCATAAGAACTCTTTTATAAAACTGCAGATTGTTATTACCCATGTTTTTGATTTTAATCTTGTGTTTTTGTAAGGGGTTTTTATTTTTAAACTTTGTGTACATGTTGTACTTTTTTTGCCATATCGACAGCCCGGAATTTTTTTTCTCTTTAGAACTGTCGTTTGTACCGAGGAAACTGATACTTTTCTCAACGCCTTTAATCCTCTACTGCCGTGCCTTATAGTGGAAGTTTGAAAAAAAAAACAGCATAGTTGTTTCATCGAACATTACCACTTGCATTTTATATATACATCGATATTATGTATACATACATATATATATATATACACCAGAGGACTTGCTCTTTCCCCATTTTGTAATTTACTGTTACACCTCAGCCATCATCATTACAGGATCATAGCTTTAATATTGGTAAACTAAGACAGATGGTAAACTGTGAACGTCGATGTTAGATTGCCGTAAGAGACATTTTTTTACTCTTTCAAACCGAAGATTAGAGGGCGTTTGAGTCTGCTATTGAGGAAACGTATTTTTGTTTTGCACGCGCGAGTTTAAGTTATGAGTGCCAAGGAAGGATTTGAATAGGATTATGATGCAGTTGCATAGAAAATTAAAATGTTGTTTTTGCTCATATCTGTGTTGGTGCATCTTTCTGTCTTGGGCTTGTCTACAGCAGCTGCTTGGTGATGAAAGTGCTGTGTAGATGCCTGTGCAAATGATGTGGTATTTCCATGTTTTTCTGCACACATGCTGCAGGAGGGGCTGAACACAATTGACCCACACGTCTATTTCACTGTTTTAAAAAAAATGTTCTCAAGCTGTTATTTCTTTTAATCGGTTAATACCTGAATTCATTGTGTTACAGGCAAATCAGTTGTCTCCAAAAAGTTCAAGTTAAATGCTAGCTGAATAACTTCAACATGATTGTAGCTGGGCCCGACAATTCGGCTAATGTTCAGGCATCGAAGACATCCAATCATCGAAGACGATAGCACTTGTTGAAACGACCTGTCGACCCGCTGGCTTTGCAATCTCCGAAGCATGGGCTCGAGTGACACCAGCTGTTTGGATTTCTTGTCGTATATAGCCTCGCATCTTCTGCACAGCCTTCCTTGTGTCTAAGTTGGGCAGTCATTATCAATGACTTTAGAAGTTTGGTCTGCAAACTCTGTGTCCCGTGATGGACCAGATCCAGAAAGCTGTACGATATTTTTCCTTTTTACTTCCGCGTTGGCTGATGAATGATTAGCCTGAAAGAAGTGTTCGGAATACTTGCGAAATCTGATTCCCATAACATGTTCATTTACAGGTTGGATAGAATCTGGGGCAGCGTCCACCCCACTTGCATGACATTCTTTACTGTGAGGTAGGAGTATAATGCCTCAGCCCACACCATAATATTTCGGACATTACAGCATACCACTACATGACGGACGATATGGCTTTCAATAAGGTGGTCCTGGTAACTACCTTCATTTACTTGGTGAAATTTTTTTAGCAATCATCGCTTCACAGCCGCGTTGCCAATAAAAGGTGCCGCAGGGCACGTGCACAGTCACAGGGAAAGCTGGAAAAGTGGCCTTTCAGAGCCCTTTGAAAACACTCATTCCGCAACTACGGCAAGCATACTTGCTTGGTACCCACTATGGCTCAATGCAAAGATTGTCAGGCACGAGCTTCCTTAGAACATATAGTATGGGAATGCCAGGTATTAAAACGCAGTAATGAAAACGCGGCCTCCCCCAACAGCCTCCGCGCGCATTGGCTGGTCGTGCTGCTCAGTTCAGCCCTGGACGATCAGATATGGGCAATCCAGCGGGCCGAGGAAACCGCTAGGAGGCAAGACCTTCTAGCCGACACCTAGGCGGGAGCCCAGCCCACTAACACGCTGGATAGAAAATAGTTTATTCCTTCCTTCCTAGTTGTAAACATGCATGGCAGCATAGTAGGGTTGCCACCTGTTCGGTTTTCACCCGGGTCGGCCGGTTGCCAGTCCGCGCCAACCGTCACTGGCCATTTTTTTTTTTTTCAAAGCTATAAATGAAGCATCACTCTATTCATGGATATTTTTTATGCCCGCAATCAGACTAGTAGGCTAGCTCTAAGGCACCATTTCTGTTTTCACATTAGGTTTGGCTCAAGGAAAGCAACGCTATATCAAATGGCACTGCACGTTTTAAGACCTCGCATGGTCTTGAGCGTGCTCGTGATTGTTCAATACTAGTTCAATCTCCTGGTAGCTCATCCCCCCTATCCCTCGTTGAAGGGCTGGTTTTTCGATCGAGGAAAGGTGGCAACCCTATAGCATAGTGACGGAATACTACCGATTAAATTAGGTATCAATTGCAACTACAGGTTTTGTTTTTCTATTCTCGATTGTAAAGAAAAACGCCAGGCCTTGTGCGGAAGGCACAGCACAGTCACAGCGAAAGCTACAACAGCGGCCTTTCAGAGCCTTTTCTAAACACTCATTGAATAACTACTCCAAGCACACTTGCTTGATACCCACTAGATCATTATTAATAAATTTATTTGGGTAGTAGGCCGGCATTCCCTATGCTGTTTATTGTAATTCCTCTGAGAAGCGTGGTATCCTCTAAACACTTGCAAGGAATTTCGTGCCACTTGTTCATGCAGTGCCCCGCCGCGGTGGTCTAGTGGCTAAGGTACTCGGCTGCTGACCCGCAGGGCGCGGGTTCGAATCCCGGCTGCGGCGGCTGCATTTCCGATGGAGGCGGAAATGTTGTAGGCCCGTGTGCTCAGATTTGGGTGCACGTTAAAGAACCCCAGGTGGTCTAAATTTCCGGAGCCCTCCACTACGGCGTCTCTCATAATCATATAGTGGTTTTGGGACGTTAAACCCCACATATCAATCAATCATCAAATTGTTCATGCAGTGGCTGACGACGATGAGGAAATATGGCTGAAGTGGGTATGCGCCACATTTAGTAGGGGAACAAGAACAAGCTTTTGTAATCAGTGGGATGGCCCACTGATTACGCTATTCGCAATGTGCGACGACTGGTTGTCCTTTCGCTAGTTTTAGAACACTTTGTAAGTCGTATTAACGCGATTGCTTTCCCGACATCAAGCCTGCCTAAGTGTGTTACCAAGCAACTGTAGCACTTGAGTCTTCCACATAAGAGTGCGCAGTGTTATACAATAGAGGGGGAGGGGAAGGTTTCGCCGGAGGCTCCCACCGTTCGTAGTCCTATAAAACTGATCTAAACTGTCTGATAGACTGCATTATAGACTATCTAAAAATACGTTTAGATAGTCTATATTGTCTATATTTTGTAGGTGTTCGTCGAGTCCTTCCCCCTCTCCACATAAAGCTCCGCAACAGATGTAAAAATAAAATGATGTCACGCTTCCCGAAAAGGCTTGCGATTTGTCCCCGGATTTCTTTCGTAAAAGTTTGAAGTACGTCCGAAAAGTAATGTCAGAGAATCCGAGTAAAATAAAAACGGCTGCTCGTGCTGCACAACCGTTCCCTGGCCACCCTGTATATGTCGGAATTCGGCCAAGGCCGTCTTTACTTGGATTTCGCTTGACGTTGAAGGTAACGTTTCCCCTTGAGCCAATAGGTAAGAATAATGAAGAAGAATTAACGATTGGAACTTTATTTGAACTTGAACTTTATTGCAAATAAATAGAATAGCACTAAAGAAAAACATGTTAGCAACATCTGGATCCTTAGCACAATGCTAGTATGAATCCATGCAATTATAGCATCGTTATATGACAGGCATGAGATAAGAGTTAAACAATGAACCGCATTTTAGCTCAAGATGCAGATCAATTTGAAAAACATATCACTTGCACAAAGATGCAGAACACATTGAAGAAGAAAAATCCAACTTTTACGGTGCAGTTTGAACACGTTTTCGGTTGGAATACTCAGCATAATATTACACCTAATACGTCTGTACATCTGTTAATTAAGCATTCCCAAAACCATACCCACATACGCAACATTCGCGCGATACCCCAACCACTCGGCGACGCATGTACTCGAGTTCCCCCCGCGGGGAGATGCGGGTGGCTTACCCCCGTATTCTAGAACGCCCTTTCACTCAACGCTCCACCTTCACTTGATGGATGGATGGATGGATGTGGCTGTACCCTTTAGATCGGGCGGTGGCTAACGCCACCTAGCCGTAATACTTAGTGAACTAACCACTAGATTTATCTTTTTTTCCCCTCTTTAAATAGTAAAGTTGGACGGGTACTTTGCAGTGAAGGGTTTAATTTTCACTCGTGCCTTGACTTTAGCCACCAATCAGATAACCTCCTTCTAGTTAAGTCTACCCGCTTAAAGTCTATTTTGCCCTCCCTGTCCCTAAACCCCAGTGCTTTGAAAAACTCTGCGCCATCATCCTGAACTATAGGGTGAAGCCCTTTACAGAACATTATCAAGTGTTCGGCAGTTTCGTCTTCCTCTCCACACGCACTGCATACTGTGTCTACCCTAGAAGTGTGGCAGCTTGGGCTAGTTGGTATGGCATGACGATAGTTATAGCGCGAGAACAAAACGACGACACAGAGACAAGAAGGACACGAAAGACACGTGTCTTTCGTGTCCTTCTTGTCTCTGTGTCGTCGTTTTGTTCTCGCGCTATAACTATCGTCATCGTTGTGTCTACCCCTTCGTATTTGGCCCGATATGTCTTGGTTAGCATTACTCCCGTCCTGGCCTCAAACAGTAGAGAACTACTCCGAGTATTATCATAGATCCTTTCCTTGGCAATTTCCTGCTTAAAAGTTCGATAGATCTCTTGTGCGTACTGCTTAATCTTGCCAATTCTCCACATACCAGTCTCCGTTTCCTTCACTTTCTTCTTAACCGATAGTTCTTTTTGGTTTGGCCACCTGCTGTTTTCTAAGTATTTACCAGTCAATTTCCTGCTTCGCTTTCTCCATTTTGTATCGACATTCTTCATGTACAAGTAGCTGAATACCTTCCTAGCCCAACGCTCCTCCCCCATTTCTCTCAATCGCTTCTCAAATTTTATCTTGCTGCTAGCTTCCCTGTTAAAAAACCGATGGGAGCGCCATCTGTAGGCAGGGAAAGTCACTGCATATCAGTAATAATTTGCTGCTATTCTTGAGTAGCACAGCGTGATTTTCAGCCGAGCAGCGGCGCAGTGCGCAACTCTGTCAAGTGAAGGGTGAAAGTCGAGTCGAGGAGCGTTTGTAAATACGGGGGTTAGTTTGTCTTGTTTCGCTTCAGGTTCGCGCATACTCCCTCACCCTCGCTCTGTCTGTCTCTCTCATTCGAAGTGCCCACGAGGGGAAGGGGAAGCACAACACTAAGGTATCCGCCATATTCATATAGCGGCATGAGTTTGCATTAATGCTCAGCAGGGAAGGATGGGGGAGCGGCAGCCCCTCACCTCCTCTCCTTTCACGTCGATAGCGCTCGCAAGCAGTTCGTGAACGGATGATGCGCGCTATCGGCGTGACACAGCATTCTTGATATGAAAGTGGCAAGCCCCGAGCTTTTGTCGAAGGAAGGCAGAGTGAGCCAGAAGACGATTATATTGCTCATGTGGCCGAAGTATTTGCGGTATTTGCTTGGAGTGCAGGTGGCAATATTCGATTGAAACGCAGTCGCAACGCAATCGGTAG